GTGCTTGTTCCTCCATGAATGCTCCTCATTATCTCGGTATTTTCTTGTAGTCATATCAGCTTATAGAAGCAATAAGACTGTTGACAAGAGAAATTATCTCAAAACATGTGCCTGAAAGCTGGCAGCTGTGTGCAGAACGAGGAAGGATGTTCCTACTCACTTAACCTTGAAAAAGGCATGTTTGGGGCAGGGTAATAGTTTTTTTGTGTGTCTATGAATCACATCCCTTAGAGTACATCAGGTTTTGGAATTTTACCCTCCACGCCACTTCCTCCAGGTGCTTTTTTAGCCAAAGCTTGGGGACTGACTGATTTAATACGCTTTTGTGGGGGAAAGGGTAGAATGAAAGAGATCAGGAGAGAAATAACACTCAACACAAATGCATGGATTTAAGGAAGCAAATTTAGTACTCCTGCTTCATCCTGGTAGGACAAGTTCAGCCTGTCATCCTGTATAGATATATAATCTCCACTTCACAGTGACCAAAGCTTTCTTATTCATTGGGTTCTGTAATTACATGGACTTACACCATCATCCTGAAAAGTTAGCTTTTTTTCCCCCTTAATATATTTTTATTGATTTTAGAGAGTGAGGGAGAGGGAGAGAGAGACAGAAACATCAATGACGAGAGAAAATCATCAGTCGCTGCCTCTGGGGATCGAGCCCACAACTCAGGCATGTGTCCTGACAAGGAATAGAACCTCGACCTCCTGGTTCATAGGTCGATGCTCAACCACTGAGCCAAGCCCACCAGGCAAGAAATGTTAGCTTTAAATGGGATTTCGGTAAGAAGTATTTTGGAGAGTATGACATAGAATAGGAAAATGCTATAATTTCTAGGTAAATGCTATACAGTTCCATACTCAGTCCACTGCAGAGTATGTTTATCTGTAGCAGTATTAAGACATTTACAGCTTGATTGGCCAAAGCTTTTGCTGTTTCTTATTGAAAATTCCTAGAGAGCATCTAGTCTGCCCTTCCCCTCTGGCCCTGGGTGCATCTTTCATTTAGATCCATTTATGTGGAGGCTTCATTTGAAGCGTCTCTTCAATATCTTGGGGCAGCTCTTGGCTCCTAGGAGTTGATTTTCCCACCTTAAGAGCCATCGCCCAGTGATCAGGCCTCATGCACAGATTTTCTTTTTGCTTTTGGAACAGTGGTGGTTTTTATCTACAAAATTGTTCTCCCACTTGAGTCAGTCTGCCCTGCAGCCAACAGATGTTTGCATCCAGATCTCCCCTGTAGATGAATAAAAACCTCCCAGAGGCTAATACTGGCTGGAAAAAAAGTTCCTTTGTGCATCTATGAAGCATAACTAAGCCCTAAGCAATCACTTTTGATGTATATTTTGTGATTGGGGGGAAAATTTTTGTGTGTTTTTTTCTGCCAAACTATTTCTTGCAGATGAGAATTTTTGTTGACTGAAGGCTTTATCCAATGTGAGCTTTACCCTCTGTGATTGAATGAAGGGCTAGATTGAGATTGTTTTTCCTTATAGTGCTCTTCAATTTTGTTCTCTGTGTTGTTTGGGCATAATACTTCATCAGCAAAACGGGTCTGATAACTCTCTTCCAAATATCCATCTTGTTTGGTTTGCTGGGAAACACTTTTCATCCAAGCATAAAATACATTGTTAAAAGAGTCAACCTTCATAAGGTTGAAATCTGAGTCTATGGACATCCTAACACTGAAATGAGCATACTTATTTTTGGAGGTCATTAGTTTTGCCTCGGTACCTTGTGTCTCCCCCACCCCCTCATCTTTTATAAGATATAAGATCAATGTCCCTTAAGGTAGCAGCATTTGTCATAATTGCCTGATACTTTAGTGTCTTTCAATACCAATATTAACTTTGACTATGGGATCACTAAACCGTATAATAATTTTGAGCAAGGAATAATAACTTGACTGTTGAGGACCAGTGAAGCTAATAGCAAACTTTTCAGACAATGACACACCCTTAGACTCAAATTTAAGCTTGGAAGCTAATGAAATGCTTCTTGGGTCATATATATTGAAATATGATAACTTGGTTTCTATATTTAATGATGAATACTAATTTTGGCATGAGGAAACAAACCACACGATACAGTGAATGAGCAGTCTGGTTTTAACCATTCAACATCAAAGTGGGTAGAAGCCCCATATTTCATGTTTTCCCAGGCAAGAGGGGATAAGCCTAAGGAATGTTACCTTCAACAAAATAAAAAATACAATGTTTATCCCTACACAGAATCATTTATATATAAGTCTTTGAAAAGCAATGAGAACCTGAGGATCTTTTTTCTTTTTTTTCTTTTTTTGTTTAGTTCTTTGCAAATCCAGACCACACTATTGATCGCTAACTATTCATTGCTGAAGGCAGTACTCTGTATTTAATAAATTAAGCTTTAATCTCTGAGTCTAACAAAGTAATTGACCTCAAAAAGAAGATAAATGAATATGCTGTCCTGAGCTCATGATTAGAATCTACTTTCTAGTTTCATCATTTTAGTATTTTTCAATTCAGTGAATTTTTTTCATTCTTTTGTAGTTTCTTTTCACAATTTTTAACACCTTCACCCTACTCCTATATCAACAAAGTCAAGCTATTTTTTTAAATATATATTTTATTGATTTCAGAGAGGAAGGGGGAGGGAGAGAAAGATAGAAACATCAATGATGAGAGAGAATCATTGATTGGCTGCCTCCTGCATGCCACCTACTAGGGATTGAGTTAGCAACCTGGGCATGTGGCCTTGACCGGAATAGAACCAGGACCCTTCAGTCCACAGGCTGACGCTCTATACACTGAGCCAAATGGGCTAGGGCAGTCAAGCTATTTTTATTCTTAGTTTTGAAATTGAAAAGTTTTAATATGATATTCTTATACTTTGCTATTAATATTAATAATTTAATGTATTTTCTACTTTAGAAAAAACTAGGTGACTAGTATTCCTGAAAAAAAATATCTGAAAGTTTTCTAATATCACAAAATCATAAGTAACATAACATATAGCATATATAAATATTTTGATTAATTGATGCTTTAAAAATTTGGGAAAATTGGTCCTATTTGCTTCAACACTGATTTTACTTACTAAATCCTTGAACATTAGGGAGTTTTAATGATATTTAGCCTGATTTTACACTTGGGAAAAATTAAAAGAAGAAATATTTGGTACCTTGGACAAGATTACACAGGGTTTATAAGCATGACATTTAGATAATCCCTCAGTATTTATTGCCACTACAACAGAATTTCTTTGGTTAGGAAAGTGTGTTCTTCACAGTAAGAGGGTGAAGGTGTGTACAGTGTCCTTTATTTAGCTTTGGTTTCATTTGATAACAAATATAAAACAATCATTGTTCTTCTAGACACCATATCAAGACAATTAATGGTTCAACACTACATTAGTGAGAATTGAAGTAGCTAAATCACGTTCTTCAGGCAACTTCTGATGAAGCAGAAATGATTTCTAGCTTCCATAGAATCCATGGAGAGATTTATAGTTTTTCCTTGTCTTTCTCAGGAAAAAGCCCCTGAGAGTTCCAAAAAGAAGAGTTATTTTGTTGGTTTTAGGTGGGTTTTTTGTTGTTGGTGGTGTTGTTGTGTGTTTATTTATTTATTTTTGGGTGGGGGTTCTTTTGTTTTGTTTTGTTTTATTTTTACTTAGAATTGTTGAGTTGTCCAGGACTTCATTTGTCCCTGCATTAGCTGAGAGGGAATATACCTTCATGGACTAAAAGGAAGCCTTGAGAGGTAAAGCACAATCACTCATTTGTTGGCAACTTGGGTTTATGAACTTAGAAGCATTATCTTTCCTTAGCTGCCCCAATCACATTCTACATATGGGGTAAAACTTGAGCTTACTCAGGACTCATTTGTCATCCTTAGTGTTTCCTGTAACACCCAAGTGCTATTGCAGGAAGGGAAGGTTTATTTCTTGGGATAGTCTTTTTCATTTAGAACCTCTTAACCAGAAAGTCCAATTGCATATCTTTCCTTCAAATTTTCTAAAATGATAGTTTGTATGTATAATGATAATGCAGAGTATTTCATAACTTTTCAATTCATTATGGCAATCAAGTTCATTATATCTTTGGTATTAAGTAAATATAATTGCATTACCACTCTCTGAACACTGATAATTAATTGCTATATATTGCAATTACAAAAAGTTGAAACTATTACAGTAATTTGAATGTACTATTTATGAACTATTCCAAATAAAAGCAGTTTAATTAAATCTAGTGTTAGAACAGATTTGTAAATAGGCTGGTGCAAATGTTTTTATCAGTATGCATTTGCTATTATGTTAATGAGGATACATTGCAACATATTTTGTTTTGACTTCACATCAAACTATACGATTTTCTAAAATTTAAAAATAAATGAAAAAAGAATTGGGCAACTATGGAGGTATAGTAAATGCTAAACGCCTAATAATAATGGATGTTCTTTCAAATAGAAATCACACGTTCCTCTATTTTCTTTGACATGGAGATTATAGATGTAGGGCAAATCTTATTTTAGATAGTCACCCGCCTTGGCCTGTGTTTCTAAGTGATTAGAGCATTGCCCTGAGCACCAGAGGATTGTGGGTTCAATTGATTTTCTATCAAGGGCACATACCTGGGTTGAGGGGTATATCCCTAGCCCTGCTCATGGCTCCTGTGGGAGGCAACCAATCGATGTATCTCTCTCACTCTCTCTCCCCCTCCCCTCGACCCTCTTACCCTCCCACTCTTCTACTCTCTCTAGAAAGAAAAAGGAAACAATGGAAAAAGTATCCTTAGAGGATATTTTAGCAGGGATGGTGCAAAATCAGGTGTCTTGTAACCATGACCACTTGGCATTTCTGATCAGAGTTTTAAGGAATATATATATATTCCTTAAAAGAGAGAGAGAGAGAGAGAGAGAGAGAGAGAGAGAGAGTTATTTTTTTATTGAGGTAAGTAGATGCCCTGGGATTTATAGCTATTCCTAATGTTTGACCATTTTCTCTTTTTATTTGCAGAATTTTTCAGAGAACTCCTAGAAAATGCAGAAAAGTCACTCAATGATATGTTTGTACGGACCTATGGGATGCTGTACATGCAGAATTCAGAAGTGTTCCAGGACCTGTTCACAGAGCTGAAGAGATACTACACTGGAGGCAATGTGAACCTGGAGGAGATGCTCAATGACTTCTGGGCTCGGCTCCTGGAACGGATGTTTCAGCTGATAAACCCGCAGTATCACTTCAGCGAGGACTACCTGGAATGCGTGAGCAAATACACAGACCAGCTGAAGCCGTTTGGAGATGTACCCCGCAAACTGAAAATTCAGGTCACCCGCGCCTTCATCGCTGCTCGGACTTTCGTCCAGGGGCTGACTGTGGGCAGAGAAGTTGCCAACCGAGTTTCCAAGGTAATTGAAAATCTCTTATCTTTCTAATTGGTCTTCCACATTTACTCTTTTTTATAAAACAAATGTTTACAAGAAATTCAAGGTGAAAACTCACGAACAGCGGTCCTTGCTCTTCGAGAAATAAGCTAAGTGCTAAAGCTTAAGTCTGGCTTTTTTTTCTTGCTTAGTGTGAGAGAAGACAGGATTTCAAGTTGTTCCATGTGCTTTGGAACATAATGCCAATATTTATCAGCAGTACAGCAGAGGAGCTTTTAACAGGGATGGTGCAAAATCAGGTGTCTTGTAACCATGACCACTTGGCATTTCTGATCAGAGTTTTAAGGATGATAAATACTCATGAAGCAGTCCATCCAGAGGTTATAATCCCCTGCTAAGTCCCAAGGTGACAGTCTTCATGAGGCCTGCGAGTGGAGACAAGCTGTTCACAATGCCCGCACCTGGCATTTCTTCTTCTTTATCGCCCTTGTCAAAGTGGCCAAATTCCTTAATCATGAAGGAAGAACCAAGCGCTGACACCTGTAGAGCTGGATTATCGAGGCCTAATGAATACAAAGTATAGATTCTGGCAGAGCATTCCCTTTGTTACCCATTAGCTTTGTAATTCAATGCCACGTATCGTGTTGGGCTTAGGAGGAAGATAAATCACTCGCACGCCTTTGTGCCTTTCCTTGATGATGCCTCTAACCCCTTAATGCAAGGAGTGTTTCCCCACGGCTGTCCTTAAACATTGACTATTTGCTATAACAATTTCCTGTGCAGAGGATATCTGCCTTTGTTTAAATTGTTCCTTGACATTCAGCTGCTCTTATGAGATGGGCTGGCCCAGTTCTGAGGTCAGTCCAACAAACACACTGAAAGATGATCACTTTCAGAGGCAAAGGAAAAACAATACTTAACAGGAATCTGATATGATGTCACCCAAAGAATGTCATATTTGTACAAAGATTATTGCTCAACTCAACGTTCTTATTTCAGGGTTGTGCCCAAGAGCCACACAGTTTTCTTAACTGTTGGTACTATTCTGCCATGTTCTTTTTCCTGCTTTGCTCACCTCAATATTTATATCTGGGCATAAAGTTCATGTATCCTCTTAAAAAGTGTTTCTCTGAATGCTATTTGTAAAATTCATAGCAATTCATTTTTTAATTGTCAGTTCCTAAAACATTTATTTGAGCTTCTGAGAAGATTAGTTACAAGAAGGCTTTAAAGGGGATACTCACAAAAGATTTAATAATGTATAACTCTAATTATAAAAACAATGTTTTTATTGAAAATCAACAATGTTCTGAAGTAGAGCCCTAAAGGTAGACTGATAAAGACTTGGCCAGTTGTAACAGCAAGAGAAAGTATGATGACCAGAGAAGGTTTGTAAAATATAGATAAGTATAACAAATAAAGATATAGTTCATATGTTCTAGAGCAGATAGATTTTGTGTGTTTTTTAAAAGTTTAATTACAGAGGCTTCAAATTAAAGTCTTTGCTTTTGTTGAACAATGAAACAGACATACATCCAGCTTTTGAGAAACATGAGGTAAGAAATTCAAAGCATGGGCTGGTATATGCAACATTCCTGATTGTTTATGTTGATTCTGCCTAAGTGTGAATAGTATTTAAGTGCTTATATTTTGGTCTGGAGAGGTTCCAGTGAGATAAGTGGATATTTTATAGAAAGGCTTCTAAAAAGCCACAGAGAAGGGTCCTGCTGACTCCTCTTCCTCAGGGGATGGCGTTAACAGTTGCTGGAGATGGTGCCTCCCCTTCATCCATCATTCCCTGACTCTCAGCCTGAGATCTTTGCCTATCAAAAAGTAACATGCTACTCTTTGTGGTGAAGGTTGACATCATGGACCAACCACCAGTAGAGTGTGACCTTTAATTTCTTTCCAGATGTGATGAGGGATGTACTCTTCAATACCAAGAGCTTGTTTCCCCTAATTTCCTCATAGCCAACATTCATTTGCAGAGCAGCTGCTGTGGGTTTGTAATACAGTTTGTGGTCATGTAGCCATGGAATGCTCACTGTTCAATGCAGATATGGGCTTGTTTGATGGAGTTTTATTAGCACTAATCTACTCAGATCATAAATCCCATGCTGCCATCCGGGCACCACCATTAGATAGATAGATGATGATGATAGATAGATAGATAGATAGATAGATAGATAGATAGATATGAATATATACACTTGGTTTAAAAGAAACTGAGCAGTTGCGTGTTTTTAAAAAATAATTTATGACTCAGGGGTTTAAATATATTACTGATGAACTTTCTCACCTAATCTTACCAAATGGTCTGTAGAGACTAAACCAGATAGATCTATGTAGGCTATTCCGGTGCTGGTGATTTTCAGCACCCAAACTATTTCTGGTAATAAGAATAAAATATTACAAGGCAAAAATATCTAAAGAGGAGAAGCAAAGTTGGTGTTTGAGGTTTAAGCCCTTCATAAATCTGAAGCCTCCCTGTGGTGTGTTCAATGAGTGATTTAGAGTTGGCGAAATGATTGCAGAAGAGTTCAAGGATTCAAGGCCAAGTTCCAAAATTGAGATCCACAAACGAGCTTATCTCCTGCAGCTTGGTTTGAGGGATATTTTCTTTTCCTCAGTTTCTCTCTTCTCTTTCAGTGGCTTCTTAAATATTGAAGGGATCATTAACACCCTCTAATTAATTGTTTTGCCTGGAAAATTTTTCTATTTGGCAAAATACAGCAGAGCAGTTTGACACAAATGTTTTGAGACATCATTACAGGGAATTTTCTTATCAGAAAAATGGATGACTAATTTGCAGGCATAAACATAATGATTTTTTAAACTTGTTTTTGTCATCTTCTATATACATTGTCTTTTGTTAAGCTTAGAATTGAGCAAGTAATTGTAATTAACTGTAACTGGATCTTAGATTGTTAGAAGTATTACATGATTCTAGAGTAGATATCTGTGGTCATTTTAGAAGGATTCATTTTCTACATGAATGACTATTTTTGAGAATGTCATGTGTTGACAAGATGAGGAGAATCAGTAACATTTATACTATGCGGGTGGAATTTTCAAGTTATGTATTTAATTTGGATAAGAATTCCAAAATGCCTGTATTATTGAAGAAGTCCATGTCCTAAAACTGCAATTCTGCACCTGGAGAAACTGTTTCACGTGTGCACAGATAGACAGAGAGAAGAATGGTTATAAAGCAACATTGTTTACAACAAGCAAAAAAGTAGAGATAATCATAAACACCCCACCTACACTAAGGACGATCTCTGATCTCTTCACACCATGGAGTCCTATTACATTTCTGCGACACATCCACCTGGAGAAACTGTTTCACGTGTGCACAGATAGACATAGAAAAGAATGGTTATAAAGCAACATTGTTTACAATAAGCAAAAAACTAGAGATATCATAAATACCCCATCTACACTAAGGACGATCTCTCATCTCTTCACACCATGGAGTCCTATTACATTTCTGTGACACATCATCTGTATTTTGCACTATGTGCTCACCACCCAAAGTCAAATCATCTTTCATCATCATATATTTGACCCCCTTTACCCTTTACTATTTCCCCAACCCCGTTCCCTCTGGCAACCACCATACTGTTGTCTGTGTGTATGAGTTTCAGTTTTATATCCCACATAGTGAAACCATATAGTTCTTAGCTTTTGCTGACTGATTTATTTTGTTATTGCATATTTTCTTATGGCTGAGTAGTATTCATATATTATATATACTAGAGGTCCAATGCATGAAATTTGTGCAAAGGGCTCAACCCCTCTCCATGGCGGTGGCCACTTCTGCCTCAGCCCTCACAGCCCCAGCTTCGTCCAGAAGGTCATCAGAAAGAACACCTGGTCTAATTAGCATATTATGCTTTTATTATATAGGACTGGAGGCCTGATGCACAAAAATTCATGCAAGAGTAGGCCTTCAGCACCGGCTGCCCTCTGGCACCCGGGACCCAGGCTGCTGGCACTGGCTTCCCTCAGGCATCCCACAGGCACCCGAGGCCCCGGGCTGGCTTCCCTCGGGCCTCCTGCAGGCACCCAGGACCTAGGCTGGCTTCCCTCCGGCCCCAGTTTCATCAGGAAGGATGTCTGGAATGACGTCCGGAAGACATCCGGTCTAATTAGCATATTACACTTTGATTATTTATATATATACCACATCTTTACCCAATCATCTATTGAAGGACGCTTTGATTGTCTCCATATCTTAACCACCATGAATAGTGTTGCAGTGAGCATAGGGTTGCATATATCTTTGCAAATAAATGTTTTTGAAAATTTTGGGTAGATACCCAGGAAATATGATAGCTCTATATTGGGTCATATGGTAACTCTATTTTTAATTTTTTGAGGAACCTCCATAATATTTTTAATAGTGGCTATACCTGTCTACATTCACACCAACAGTGAATGAGAGTTCCCTTTTCTCCACAACCTCTCTAATACCTGTTAAACATAAGATGGTAGTTACCTCTGGGGATTAGGTTTGGAAGTATTATAAAGGAGGAGTATATAGGGGTTTCCAAAGTTACCAATAACATACTGTTTCTTAATCTCTATACTATATTTATGTGTGTGTATGTATTTAAGGATTTTTTAATGAAAAAGATTAAAGCAAGGTAAGACTTTACCATGTTCATCTATGATTCTCTTCATCTGTGCAGATATGATCAAATCCCCAAGCTGCCTGCCTCAGGTGCCTGTCAGACTTACTGTTATTTATGGATTTGTTAACCATTCACTTTCTATGCTCCACACTGCTCAATGATATAAAGTAGGTGTGGAAGGCAAAGTCTAAAAGGAAGATAAAAACAAAATTTTATAATATAGTAGCATGAGAGAAAGGATCCAGACTATTAAATCACACCCTCACCTGGAAGTGTGAGTGAGTGTGTGTGTGTGTGTGTGTGTGTGTGTGTGTGTGTACATTGGTGAGTAGAAACATGGGTGCCAGCAATCCCCATGAGGACTTGTCAGACATTGAAGAACACATA